GGGTAACTTGTAGATAATTTTGAACGCATCTTTAATTATCTTATTTTCGGTATGTACGAGATACACCGTAATTGCATTACTCCATATTGACCCATTCTATTGTTTGCTCATATTTCGTAAGCTGCATAGGCAGGACGATCAGTCAGTCTTCTCAAAGAATGAAGTAACACAAACCGGCTTGGGTAAACACAGGAACCACAAGGACGATTTCGAGTGCAATTACGGTGTACCTCGTACATACCGAAAATAAGATAATTAAAGATGCGTTCAAAATTATCTACAAGTTACCCCTAAACCCCTCCGAAACCCTCCCACAACGCCATCTTGCAACTGCAGAGGCGTTAGCAAGAACGTTGTTGCGACCAATTCTATGCTCACAAAAGCAATTCGTCAGAGCCCTACATTCATCTTGGCCCAGACCCGACATAGAACGTCCATTTGCCCATGACTCTTCTCGTGACCCCTTGACCTAAGAGTGTGACCTCATCCGTACTGTTTCATCACTCTTTCCTTCCCTCCCTCCTTTTTTCTGTTCCCCGATTCCCCATTCTAAACAACTGATTAGCAATTTTTGTTTTTACGTCTTTCCCAATCACTCCTCAACACTTCCATACCATCCAATCGACAAGGCATTCATTCTGACATTATTTGTTGCCCATTTGTTCACTACATATTAGCGGCCTAAAAGAAAACCATTTCTTATTGTTTCCCAGGTCCATAAAACTCCTATTCCGATGTAATGGCATAGCCAGAGCTGTCCTGATTGATTTTGTTGTGTACAAACATATGGATGCACATGAAAGAATAGCCAACAGAATCTTGAACAACTAAAATCAGTGCTTGTGCAATGAACCTGATAAATCCATGTCGAACTCCCGTACTTGCTCCCATTGTAGGCTTCTTCCCGCACGCACCATCACATACCAAAACACTATCCTCCCTTTTCTTGCTCCCCTTTTAGTAACTCTGGCACCAATTATTACAGGTGGAGTTAAACACCTCATGAATTAGTTTATCTAATTATTTTAATCTATCACTATCGTCTTCCTGGTTGCAGTTGGCTGTCATTTTTTTAATTAACCTGTTCGCACTCTGTTGCCACCCCGCCCACACACACACACCCTCAATTCCACTGTATTATCGCTAAATCGCTAAACGTTCACCCTTCGGATGCATAAAGGTTTCTTTGACTTGACTTGACTTCAAACTGTAATTAGCCAGAGGAATAAGTTGTCAAAAATGTTCTTGTTCGCCACTTGTGTTGTTCTGTCAATATCACGATGGGAATTCCAGTGAATTATTATTATTATTATTATTATTATTATTATTATTATTGTTAGTATTATTATTATCAATGTGGCTGAGTTGGAATGAAAATTTCAAACCGATTTAAGTGGCTTCGAAAAATAACACCAGTAACATCACCATCAAATCTGATTATTCACCAGCTCTTTCAAACCACTACTAATAATCTTTTCCATTGAAATCAGTAACAAGGAGCACAATGCTCAATCACGTCAAGGGTATCCGTCCCACTTGTGAAGTATACTCCCTTCCAAATTTTGTTTTACTTGATCATCAGTTATCAGGCTCACAGGTACAAAATCTGTGATGGTCCGGTGGGTAATTCTATTCGTAAGTGATAAAAAACGAATATGCTCTGCCTGTGACACGTACCCAAATCATCTGTGGTTCGTTTGGATCGGAGTGACATACGACCGTCGGTTAGTGATCGCGGAATTTTGAATGCACTCGAACGAAACGGTTCATCGGGAACGGGTTTGATTTTCGCACCATAATCGGGTGAGTCTTTCTCCGCCTCGAGTACAGTGGATGAGTCCGCGTTGGTGGTCGGGCCCAACGGAACCAGTGAATGGGAAATTTCCGATACACCGTTGATCGATTGCTCGGCACGTGGTTTATCCTGTTGATTGAATTTCGCAAAACTTTCCGATACGGCATCCTGTATGAGATTCTGAAAGCACAAATAAAAAGCCGTACAAAATGGGTTCCGTTATGATACAATGATGAAAGGATGGTGGGACATAAAGGTGGACGACTGGACAGTTTACATTACTGTTTTATGAGCAGTGGAACGTGTAAACCTCATAGTTAAGAGCACTTATTGCTTAGGTATGAAAACGGGGAATCTAAGGGTTGACACCGAGAGTGGGAAAAACGTATGAACTGCATAAAGGATAGGTGTGGTTTTGAGCAGCCCGACAGCAAACCCGTTTCACACCCGGTCTCCAAGGGTCATCATTCTGACAGTAATGCTTTAACAGCTGTCGGTGCAGAGGGTCAATAGTCAATTTTGATCCACAACGAACAGCTATGGGCACTGTTTCACGTAGTCTATCAATTGCTGAGGCTTGTAAGCACCATGAAAATATTTTTGAGATGCGTAGGAACCAAATTTGCCAAAACCACGCATAAATAATTTATATCCGCAATCGTGAGAAACAAATGAAAAATAAATTTCATTCAATAATCTTATTTCGATGTGGATAAAAAAAGTAAAGACCAGCAAAAAATATTGATTTGAATGGTTTCGCTGAATGCATCTCAACCGCACTGCTATATGGCCCCGGAACTTATATATTCAATTTCCCGCTCAAATTTTACCCCTTAGATAAAAAGCTACCAAATGTTTCACAATCCCGACATAAAAACTTCAATCTGTCACACAACAATTTGAAAAATGAACCTTACCTTAGAAATTAATTAAGTGGATGCTGGTGAATTCTAAGGAAAACCTGTCGGAACAGTCAGCTTACATGCTAACTGATGGATGGGTAATTCAAATGTGAAAAGATCAATGCTATCGGTGTGGCCTCGTAGAATGTGCGCTGTACAAAAGCATAGGCGGTGTCCATGCGTGGGTTCGAATCTCACCGAGGCTAAAGAACTTTTCACGATCTCGTCATGAAAAAGCACAAGGTTATTTCGGTTGTCTTGATCGCAATTTGGTATCGGCTTCCGAAACGGGAATGGCTTACTTCTTAACCCGTACCCCTTTCCCCGTCGCGAAAAGAAACTGATACAGTCACATTTCCTTTTGCCGTCAGTTTTGAAGCATTGGCAACCTCCAGAAACGTATGAATGCAGGACAATGGTAGTTCAGCTACGTGGCTCAACTGAAGAAAGGTTCACCTATGTGCAAGTGAAATTTCAGACATACATCACAGTATTCTGAAATAATCAGACAACATAGTACTTACGAAATATATCGAAACACTTCACTAGATGTTAGATAGACCTGAAGATATGCCCTGAGCAATTTTGTTTGGATATCATAAAACAGTGCTGGAGAACCAAAAACGCCTTTTTGTGCCGCTGGTAGGTAAAAATAAAGCATTTATTGAAATTCCCCTCAGCAAGGAACGAATCGATACGAGGCAGAACAACAAGGGAATTCCGTCATATTTTGCAGAGTTTACCATGATCTGATGTAACAAGGTCTGGTAACGATTAGAACTGCAATCCGATTGAAAGTCCTGTTCGTATTGAAGTGTGACCGCTACGTGATTAACTATATAAAGGATCTCAGGTAATTCTGATGCATCACTGGTCATGCGTTAACGAAACCTGCTGAATGGGACAGTTCATGCTCAATGCAGAGTATATGATTCGTGTTAAACAAACTGATAAGCTTTATATCTGTGTCCGTGTTCCAGAATTTCCAACGTGGCACTCGGTTGATCTTTAAAGGGCAGAATTCGACAGAATTTATCGGTTCATTGTTCAATGGGCCGGGTGAAACGATAAGCTTAAATGTGAGTGATCTTCATCTGTGATGAGTACAGAAGTGAATCAAAGCCGGGCGTGTTTCCATTTCTAACGATACACAAGTGGTATAATCAATATCGGATAGGAGTAGTACCCCGGAACTGGAAGATCTTTGAGTCCATAGGGATTTAATCTATGCTATAACTGTACGCCCCAGATTAA